CATGTGTCTAATGTCCAGCATCAACCGGACTAATGGTTCTTAAACAACACGTAGTAGAGACAGCAAACTTAGGTGTTTGTATTTTCCTTTCTGTGTGTTAACATACCAGGAGGAGACCAGAGGTAAATGGTGTTGTCCATCAGGGTTCTGCACTGGGATGAGCGCGGTCTAATATTTTCAGTGTTAACATGGGCAGTGGAATTGAATACACCTCAGCAAGTCTGTGGATGTCACCAAGCTGAGTGATGCAGTTGACTCTCTGGAGGGAAGGAAAAACATCTGGACAGGCTTGAGAAGTGAGCCCACGCAAAACTCCAAGTTTTCACCAAGTTCACCAAGACCAAGTTGCAAGGTTGTGCACTGAGGTTGGGGCAATTCCATGTATCAGTACAGACTGGGTGACAGATTGAGAGCAGCCCTGCAGAAAATGACATGGGGGTACTAGTGGATACATCAAAAGAAACGTGGCCAACAGATCAAGGAGATGATTCATCCCTTCTATTTCACCTTCATTAGTTGCCTGAATCCAGCTCTGGGGCCTTCAGCACAAGAGAGACAGTGTCCTCCTAGAGGAGGCCATGAGGATGCTCAGAGGGCTGGAACACCTCTACTGTGAGGATAGGCTGAAGGAGTTGGATTGTTTGTTTCCAGGGAGACATCATTGCAGCCTTCCAGCACTGAAAAGGGGCCCACAGGGAGAGGCTCTGTAAACTTTCACCATCGTTTGCAGAGAGTAGAGGAAATTATTGAAGGAAAGGAGTTTAAGACTATGCAAATTTGTCCTTCCTAACATGCTCAGTTTATCAGTTCAGTAGATTTTAGTATAAAAGTCTGTGGTCTTTGTACAAAGAACTACAGTGAAAACCCAGAACAGCCAGCAGCATTTTCTAAGTGATGGTTGTGAGCCAGCATTTGACACATTCTCTGTGAGTAATTTATGTCACTTCTAGAAGGGGAAACACTTCACCAAGGAAATAAATATGGCAGGAGAATTATGTCATTGGCACTATCATTGACTAAAATTAATTGATGATGCAGTGCCTTCATTATGCTGAAAGGCCTGGGTACGGATACAGTCCACTGGAAAAAAACGGTGACCAATTTGTCACCTTCCTTTATTTTCTAATGTTTATGCCACAGAAACTGACAGATTCTAAAAAGCACAGAAGCACCATTTGCGTATGTGATTTGGGAATATGTCCATTGTTAATTAACTGTAAGAAGTTTTGTATTGGGATTCCAACCAACTGATAATGGACATTTGTTCTCCAGGAAATTCTTTTTAGGCACTCTTCTTATTTCCCATTTATTGTAATTTTTAGTCCTTGTTTGCTTTTTTTCTGATGTAGTTGGTTTTCAAAGACATTTGTTAGTTTGTCCAACAGAAATTTTAGAAATGCAATTTAACTTTCACTCATTAGAGGATTTCAGTAGCTATTGGGCAATGTGACAAATCATTCAAAAAAGGCACTGAGTTGAGGACTGTTACCCTGCATCTTGTGAATAGCAGTGACTCCTTGTTTTGGGGATAAATAGGGTAATTTTGTAGAAAGATTGCACTGGGAAAAAGAAAAAATCTGTTATCACAGCTGGCTGCAGCATTTCTTTGTGCTTCCCTAAGCAACAGTTTGGAAGTAGCTTGACCCTTCAAGTTGGGCTGTGTGTAGATGCAAACTCTTTCTGAGGTAGCACATGAGATTTGTTGCACACTAAATGATTGGCAGTCATGCAGGTTATCTTTAGTGGGGCAAAGAAATGTCAACCAAAAGATTATATGGAGGATATGGATGCTTTCTGGTTGCTTTTACTGCTGCTGAACAATACTGCCTGGTTTCTTGAAGCAAAGCAACCTTCTAAAAAATTACCATAGGAAATTCTAATACAGTTGTTTACTCCTAACTTACAGTTTGTTTGTTTTTTAACCTTTTGTTTTGGTTGTTGGCATTTGTTCTTCTTAGTAATATTCTATTTTGTATGATGTAGAGTCTTTGCTGGTCCCCCAAATGTACATGCTTTTCTTATGTAGCTGTAGAACGTCAGTCGCTCTCATGTCAGTAATTACTTAAAGTACTGGCAGTGAGTATGTAACTGGCTTCTGTGATGACAGTGCAGCTCCTAAACAGTAGAAGTTGGGTTTAAATGGACTAACATGTTTTATGCTCCAAACACTGATAACTTCATGAACTGACATCTCCTGTAGTTTAGGGACATTTCAATGTGCAAAGTGTCTGATTGACCAGTTAAGGAGAATTTTCTTCTTTGAGTGTGTATACTTCATGCACTGATCTCTCCCTGCTATTTTTATTGTATCGTGTGCAACAATGCTAGCTCACGAATACGCAGTGTTTAGAGCGTTCCCATCAAAATAGTTGCAGTTGAAGTTTTGTTGTAAATGCCTTTCTGATACACGCCAGTCAGATGCTGTGGATTCTGAGTGTGATCCTCTTGAGCTGAAATTCTTCATAGTTGTAATGTAATTTTTTTTTGATGTTGCAGTAAGAAAATATTTCTTTTTACTTGAGTGTTGAGATTAGACAGTATATTTTGCTTCTTTAAAATCTTTCAGGTGCCTTTCTGCAAACGTAAACCAACATTAGTGTGAACTTAAAACATACATTCCTATTTAGCACTTTTTTCCATAGCCAAGGAGAGCCAGAGAAATACTACTTCTGTTGCAATGGATCAGTTGCGTCAATTTTGAACATCATGCAAAGTAGTACTCAAAAATGCTGTTTTGTCAAAGGGGACATCTTATATACTAAATAAAATCTCCAGTGAGAAAAATTTCAACTTATGCATGTATAAAGTTGAAGGAAATGAGTATTTATTTCCCATTAGCCTTTCCTACTTTTGTGTCATCTTCTGTTTGTTCCCCAAGGAAAAGGGATGCTAATGAGTGGAGTTCTCGAACAGCAGATGAGTCTGTGCCACTCCGTTCTAATGAGAGGTGGATACCCTCCAAGTTACTGCCTAGGCTTTACTACGTCATGAAATGAAAAATGTCTTGTGGAAAGGCCGACATTTTGCACAGACTGATACAAATCTTCAGTTTTTCTGCTCCCTAGTTTGCGTGTGTTTAAATGCATATTGCTAACCTTGTTTTCTGGTAGGATTATTTTTCATTTCCTAATCATTTTTTTTCTTCTTTCCCTCCAGTATTAAAATCTAATTTTTGCATGTGAAGCTGGTCTGTAAAGTATGATTAATTCAAATGGCTTTACTTCTTTTAATAACAAAACTTAGTTTCAGGCAGAGCCAGGCATCAGCATGGTTTTAAGAAATGCTGTGAACCTTGGGATCTATTATTTTTCAAGCTCCTACGTAGTGTAACATAGCCTACCCCAACTAATTATCATTTATTACAGTGATTGCCGTTAGTGACTGCTATAATTGAAGTTGCGTATCAGTTTCTATTATAAACCCTTGTTTCCACACAATCATATAACTTGCCAAAGCATTAGCCTTTAGGACAAAAGTTTTCCATGGTAGTGTTCTCCTCAGAGGTAAATTCTGGGGGAGAGAGGAGGAAAAAGAGTTGTAACTGTCCTTATAGAAAGTCCTTGTCTGGGCATTTTGAGTTGTAGGATCAGCTAAATTGCATAGCAGGAAGCTGAATAGTTACCATCATTCTGGGGGACTAGGAAAGCTTAGAAGTTAAAGGATAAAGAATGCAGTACCTTTAGTTTTGGCTACTCTTGCTGTTTTGCCTTTCAGTATCTCTGCATAAGACTGCAAACAGTTGTTAGTCTTACTTTATTTGTATCTGCATTTCATAGCATCATTTAACAGCGTTAATTTTAGTAATGGTGGGAAATGTCTGATAGCTTAGAAAAGTGGATACAAGGTAAACAGTCAAGTATTGATTCATGATTCCAGTCCTGAATCTGGTGCTGGTTTTTGGGTAAAAAGTGAGGTGGGGAGGGCAGTGTAAGAGAGCATTTTCTACGATTATTTTCCTGGTAATAGCTGCTAAATGTTGCAGAGCTTTTCCCTGGGTAGAAAATGACATCTTCCTGTACCGCTGCAGATAACCCTGTCTGCAAACTTTTTATGGTGACCACTATATAAAGAATGTGTAAGTTCACATTTATGGTGGCTTGAGCATGACTTGACAATTTATTATATCGTATAAAGAAATCACATTTTAAGGCATAATGTAAGGGAGTGCTTGGGCAGACAGAGTAAAGGATAAGCTTTGAAGCCTAACATTCATTTCCTGTGCTTGTTTTATCATCCCTAACATTGCACTAGCACCATTTCTTTGCATAGAACTCATTTTAAGAAGTAGTGATTGGTTCTTTCAGCCAGCCCTCTGGGACAGTGTTTTAATTATTTTCATGAGATATATGATAATAAACTGAAGTACAGTAGAAATGACAATTTTTGTTACATTCAGAAATTGTTCCTCCGCTAGTCTGGCTGCAAACTGTTACTGCTGTAAACATCTGTCTTTATACGATGTTGTGAAATTCTACACGGGGATGATTAACTGAAAAATAAATCATAGCATGAAGAAAGCACAAGCCTTCAGAAAGATAATCTTTTTGGAGACCTCATTGTCTGCAGAGGGTCCTATGAGTCAGTGAGATGTCTTGTGCATGAGAAGGTTTCCACATCTGGATTCTTTTTACCAATTGAGGTCTTTGATCTGAAAATGTTACAGCTCTCCTATGCCCTGTAATTTGTCTGGCCAGATGAGTTATTTACAAATGCAATTGCTCTTCTGACAACTCAGTTTTGAGCGTGTAAGTGCTGGGGTCCTGATCTGTAATCCACAAGGACTGCTGGGAGTACTTTTATTGGTTTCAGTGAGCTTTGATTCAGGTTTTTGGACTTAGAAGTGCCCTAGGTGGATTAGGTTGGGGGAAAAAAAGAGTTTTTACAAATGATTATAATTTAAAGATTTAGTCTGCTGCATCTGAAATAATTTGACAGTGCTTCAAAGGCGTGTGAATTTTAGTAAGTTTCTGATCTTTGTGTCTTTTCTTTTATTCCTACAGTGGCAGATGAAAGCAAAGTTGGTTTCTTGGCCGGACGCAGATCAGGTAAACTTCTGTTTTGGAGGAAGAGCCAGCAATCTGAAAGTAGGATGGCCAGTAAATGAAGTCAGCCTACACAAACTGTGGTGCTTAAATAGGTTGCAAATTAAGGCAAATTACTTTGTATTTCCTGATTCTGTGTTGTGCAGCAATGAATTAATACTGTTCTTTGCCGAGCAGCATGTTGTAGCTGAGTCATTTGCAGGAAGAGATGTCTCTTTTTTTTCAGTTTAGGTGTTGCAAACTGAAGAAAATGAGGGTTCACATGTCATGTAGTGGCTTAAACAATAGAAACTTCAAAAAATGTAGTTTTTCTTTTTTTCCTTGCTCTGAGTTCCACTTCCGCTACCAGAATTATTGAAGATAACACAAAAATATTCTATAGTTTAAAGAAAAAGAAGTCAGAGTTTTTCCTTCCTTTTGCTTATGCAGTAGAGATTATTGTTTTTAAAACTTTTCTGGCCACTGCAAAAAAAAAAAAAAAAAAAAAAAAAAAAAAGGAAAGAATAATTAGTCCATAATGTTGTCGTTACTGTTCCTACTTATTAAACAATCTGCACAAACCACACCATAGTACTGTACAACTTGCAGTTCTTATATTATAAGAACTTTTAAGGAAATGCTGTAAGATTGTAAATTTTCACAAGGCACAAGTAAGCTGACATGAGAAACATTGAAAACTTCCTAGAAAACTCAAGTTTATTTGGTGATCTCTTTTCATGTTAGGAAGCCCTGAGGTTTCTGGCTGCCCCTTTGCTGTATGATTGTATGTTGACTTTTTCCACCCCTTTGACAGAATTAAAAAGCTGAGTTTGTGTGAAGGAAGGTCAGCTATGAGATTCCTGGTTGTTCCCTGTACAACTGGGTGTCCTCCTTTGGTTTTGTTATCTTGTAGTTCTCTGGTATGGATTTTCCTTATCTGAAGACCTTTTCCTGAACTTAAAGTAGACAAATTCTTTCTACATTCTTTTGGCTTCTTTCCTAAGTCTGTGAGCCTCTTGGATTCTTTTTCTGAATAAAGAGCTAGTTCATATGTCTTATAACACTATCAGTTCTGTGGAGAAAAAAATCTTTCAACTTCTTGTTTTGGGAATGTGAAAGCTTGAAAGAGAGGATCTTTTCAAGTCGGAGAAGCAAGGGGTGTTGCCCCTGGTTGTTTTTTTTTTTTTATCCTATGTAGAGAAATTACAACAAGCAGGCAATATCATGCAGTATTCCAAAGATCACCAGAATCTACTGCTGTCAGAGGATATTGAAAGGAAACTTGGTGAGATCAGGAATCTTTGTCAGTCAGTTATCACAGACTTATTAAGCTTTATACCATTTTTAGCAGCATGTGATCTTTCTTCTGCATACTTCTCCAGATTATTGAAAACAGCGGCTTTCAATTTGATCTCTTTGAAGACACCTAAAAATTTTATATGAAAATGTGTACCCTTAGTTACTGACTTTTGTCTCATTTGCTTTTCTTACCTTCCATGGACCTCTTCCATGTACTTAAGATCTTTTTCTAATAGGCTAAAATCTCTGTGGCCAGCAGATCAACTAAGAGCCAAAATTTCCTGCAGACTGTCTCGTCTGTCTCTTGTTTTGTTCCTCCTTTAGAATAAAAGAAGCTAGCTACTGCTGAGAAGGATAGCATGTAAATTATTTTCTTGGTTCTGTCCACTTTAAATATTCCTCAGATACTGTTGAAATGTTATTTTCTTCTTTAAGGTTCCATTTCCTATGCCCTCATGAAAAGAAATCAAGCTGCACTTTCAGCTTTCTTGTTGTTCCATTAAAGGTTTGTTCAAGAACAGAGTTCTTTTCATCTGATCTCTTTTTACTACTTGATATTTGGAATTTGTATCATGTATGTATGTTTCTGGCATTCCATTCCATTGCAGAACTCTTGTTGTAGCATCTTTCATTGTGCTGCCTTCTGCCTTCCTGTAGGCACCTTTTTTAAGAAAGCTCTAAGGGAGATATTGCAGCTTCTTGTGCTGGGAGCAAAGCACTTAATTTCTCATTATATAAAGAAGAGTTTCCATCCCATTCTAGACTTCAGGAAATTTAGCATATTTCTCTCCAGAATTAATTATCACCTACTGACAATCAATGCAATTATCCCTTCTCTCCTTCAACGTGACTTGTTCTATGAAATACACAGATGAGTAATTCTCTCTGGGGAAATATCCTTTCTGTTTCTTCTGAGGCAGTGGCTCTTGAAGCATTTTGTCCCAGCTTTTGCTATAGCTCCTGTATCCCTTGCACGTTACATGTTACTGAGCTCAGGAGTTAGTTTGTGTTAATTTCAGAAAGTGTTACCACAACTCTGCAGAAGATCAAGGCATGAGAAGGATCTGTTCTGCGGCCCATCTTCCTGTCTTTTTATATGCTGCACCCACAAACAGCTGTTCATATTCTTTTCCATAAAAAAATCTGATTTTAGAATCATGTCTGGATATACACTGAAACTAAACACGTTGCATGGAAAGATGGCTGGAGGATCGTTCTTGTATTTTATTTTCACAGAAATGCTTCATAGAATTCTGGCTCCCATAGCTGGTCTCTCTTTTCAGAGGAGGAGTACTCCTGCAAAGTTTACAGGTATTAGTGTTGTTGCAAATGCTTTCTGCAGCACCACTGCACAAGCACTGGAATGCTGTGTTGATGTGGCCTGCTTTGTCCTTTGGGGCAAAGAGTGTGTGCAAGATGTCCTCTCTTCCTAAATTCTTAAAAGGAGGACCTTTTTCTACTGCAGTCTTCTCTGTGCTTAGCAAAAGTGAGTCTGTATTCCTTAAACACCACTCCATGAGGATGAGAAGCAGACAAGTGGGGCCTCTATATTAGAGCAGAGCAAATTCACAAAGATGAGAAATCAGTGAATATGAACTCAACTTTTCATGATCTCATTAGCATTTTAGAAAAGTAGTTACAGAACAGCTAGGGAATGGCAGGATTGTTTTTACAACACGTATAACCTGATTTGTATGAAATACAGAAAACTGAATTCTTTGTGGCTGTTTCTTTTTTCCTTCCAAATTTTTTTTGTGTGCTCTGATTTATTGCTTAGAACACTTTTAATATGTATTGACTGTCTGCTGAGGTCTCTGCTGACACAGCTCTTTCAGATGATGCAGTGCTGGAGAAAAGCTGATGAGTCTTTCTTTATGAGCTCTGACATATTAATTAGCAAAATGGGCAAAAAAGCTTTCCTATTTTTATTTTAATGTCACTAGACCATGCTTTTGGTTTGGATTATGTTTGGAGACAGTTCTGAGGCAAGATGAGTTGCAGATCTTATTTTCTTGCTGGTTGTTATGCAAGGGATGTAACGCTGGGCTATGGATTTCTACTGGCACTATTGAGTGCTGTAGGGTAGCTCTGTTACCAGCTGAGTCTTTGGCTACTTTATATTAATGCTGTATGGCATGCAGTAACTACCCGAGTGGGAAAGGGTCCACTGGGGTAATTTGAAGGATGCATTTTGTCAAATAATGATCCTTATTTTACATTTTGTTGCCACTGTAACTACTGGGTTATGGTTCAACCTTGGGAAGGATCAGCATTCTGGTAGAGAAGGTCTGAGGAGGTGAGTATATAGTTTAATACTGCAAGGTCAGGGCTTTGACGAGAGCTATGTGTCAACAGCTCTGTTAGATTCCAATCCGTACTGCTTCACGTGGATTAACTGAGTTCTTGTTCAAATGGGATTCAGACTAGGGCTGGAGTTGGCTTATAATAAAGTGAGTTAAAGGTCTTGATGCATCTCTGCATGCTTTTAGTGCCAAATTTCATTAAGGCTAGAATGATGATGAAGATTATGGTTTAGGACAGGAGTGGTAGAAAAGTTAGTTTATTGCTAGATTTTTATGACCCACTGCAATGTACTAAGCTCCATCCTTGCCTTCAGGAAGGCTCTCCTGCCTATTGCAAAAGCCAACGTTGCATTGGTAGATTAAATAACTTTATGCAGTGCTGAAGTTGCATCAGTGCAAATGAAAATAAATCTTCCTTTTGACTTTAAAGTTGAATGGGCCAGGATGATCTCCAGCTGTTTTTTGAGGATGGCTGCAAGTTGCTTCTGGACACTGCACCTGGTATATTCCAACACAAGTACCATTTTTAGGAAGTAGTTCACAAGAGTAGAAGAGCAGTTATAATACTGTAGGTTATTACATACTGTATATTGTAGGTCATTATGTTAATATAACATTAATAATACCTGAGGTATGCCTGGCTCCTGGTAAGTTTTCAAATACAAACATAAAATTCTTGTTGTTTGAGGAACTCTTTTTTTCAGAGGTACAGGGTTTGGCCTGATGCAGGCATAATGAGCAGTTGAAGGTTGTTTTGGTGAAAGCGTGAATAGGTGCTAGGCTAAACATTGCTGCTGTCTGAGTTCAAGCTTAGAAGAGAAGGCAAAACTTAAGCTTACAAGAGAACTTTCCTTTTTAAACTGGAGGGAGAGGTTGAGCTAGTGGAACACCAGCAAAATGCAGTGATTTATGCATGCTTATGTTGCACAAAGTGCTTTTTCTTAGCCAAGGATTTTGCTGGGTGCTTGTGGTAGGGACAGAAGTGACGACAGAAAGCTCAGTGGCTGTCAGTGGGCATGTTTGGATAGAATGGGACAGTGCTAATGTAGAAAGTTTGGCTCCTGTTTTGCTTTTGATTTCCAGGTAACACAGTTGTGTTAAAGTGGTGTTTAAGGAAATAGTATTCTGCTCTTCTCTTTCCACACTCATAATTTATCGAACAAGCCTTTTCACAGCTATAGCATGTCTATAGCATTAAATATCAGTTTTTCAAAGGGGGCATTGGGTTTAGCTCTGAGTTCATAAGAATTTATATAGTAACTAGGTCTATTGCTGTTGCAGTCAAAAAGACTTGTAAATGGCTGAGCTGCCTGACCTATGCAAGTGAGGTACGTGTCCAAGCATGGAACTTGCCACTACCTAACTGAAACTGAAATATGGAATCTGACACTTGCCTTTGCATTTGTGAGAGGAGAAAAGATC